ATTGACTATTAATATTTTGTAATGGAAATATTTTCAGTAAAAGCTGTTAATTTTATAATTTTACCTTCCAGTTCTTACAAAAAGAAAAAAAAAAGAAAAAGCTTTGGGGGAGAGATTAATTTCTTTTTAAATTGCTGCACTTTTACAAGGTGTCATTTTTCTTTAGATGGTAGCATGGAAGAGTAAGCAAAGAATTGGTCTTGCTCCTCAGGGAGGAGCCATCCATGAAAGCAAAATCTTTTTGTCCCTTGTGGCAAATAAAATGGTAAATGACTGAAGAGGGCCCATGAGTTGCAACAAAAAGCAAAGCTTCCTTTAATGAGGAAGACCAGAGAGCACCTGAATTTTAATGTAAAAAAATTTACTTTATCAATTTTTGCTCTTCAGAAATGGAGCAAAATATTGGTTGATAAAGTGGCAGAGAGCCTTTATGTATTAAGAGAGTAATCGTTTTTAAGGATAGCAATATATAGCAAGTCGACGTTATGATGATAAAGCTGTTTTATTTTTGCAAGGCACATGCAGGTACATTCAAAAAGTGTGATTGCATTGAAACCCTGAAACCCTGCCTCCTGCTTGCCAGCCTTCTTTAAGCAATGCGCTTGAGAAGGAGGAGGGTGAGCTGGCTCTGGACAAGTACCATGCTCTTATATTTGTGATTGGCTCAAGTGCTGATAGACTTATAGGCTGAAAAATGTAAAAATATTTATGTGCATGTGAAGGTTGTTACTGGACAGTATGTTGACTTCTTTTTGATATTTATAATGCGAAAGAATTTTGAAGGTTCTCCCTTCTCTGTCTTTTTTTACCATTTTTTTTCAACCCACTTCTTTGTTTCCTCCCTCACCCTGTTCTTTGGGAAACAATGGGAAATGCTTGCACTAGTTATCAAAACAAATTGGCTTTGATTCTTTATATCCTCAGAATAACTCTTCCCATTTCCTGGCTCCACACCAAATTCCACTTCAGATCCAAACAGCAGTCCTGAAAGGCAAGCTTCAGTAATTAACAAGAAATGGCTTCCTTCTCCCCTTCTGTTGTCTTACTCCTCTACAGTAAAAATTGAAGTAATCACTGCAGACAGGGTAGCTTTACTAATGTGCTCCACTGGTTGTCTACAGTGCTGGCCTATAATCCTTCAGTTTATAGAAATGTTAACTGCCCACACTAAAAGTTTGCAAATGAAGTAACTTGTTTCGTATTAGTTAAGGAAAGTATTTTGAAGGCTTGAAATGCAGCAGTAATATAATACTAAACTTTACTTGAAGAAAGTTGATTGAGAGAAAATGTTTTCTTTTCAAAACCATACAGGTGCTTGGAAAAAAATTGAAAAAAACCACTTTCCTTATAAAATTTCAGCTCTTGTGCTGACTCTTCACATTAAGCTTGTTAAAATACCTACTCTTTTACTGTAACAAACAGCAGACATATGGAGGGCAGAATAAATTGATAACAGTTAATCAATTGGGATCAAGAACACCAGGCAATAGCACATGAATGTAATACTCTTTGGTCAGAGTATGGTCTCTGATGTGTCTTTTCAAGTGGAGTGCATGTGATTTTCTTGTTTGGAGAGTCTGGGGTGGGAAGAGGCACAGCTGAAGTATTCCTGCATTCAGTGTGTTGCATTTTTGAAAGCCTCATTGCTTTCAAAAGCTACGAGGGGGACGTGTTCCTACAAGGGGGATGTGTTCCTTCTGTAACTGTGACCAACCACACCCTTACCTCCAGTAGCAGTCTCTGAGTTTCTTGTGTGTCAGTCTCCACACATGCAATACAATAAAGCCCCAATTGATGTAAGTAACCTAAATACAGCCCAAATTGGTATGTGATTTAGAAGTATTTTACATCTGAGTGTGGCAACATAAACTAAATGTTGTAGAACCCATGAAGGGCATGATAAAGAGCATCTTGCTGAGGGATATAGGATGCTAGAGGATGCTTCAAAGAGAGCTATAGTCCTACACTGTTAAATATTTTTACACAGTGCCTTAAAGACAAGAATCATTGTCTTTTTGTAATGCTTGCACTGCTTCCAGAAAGTTAATGTCCTCTTTCATGATGGGAGTCCTTGGATGCTACGCTAATACCAGTAATAATAATAATAATCATAGCAGTCTGCCTATATTTGAGGAATTCAAAGAATAGTCAAGTGGAAATGTATAAAGTAGTAGAAGGAATTATGAATAGAATCAAATTTATCTTGGAGGAAAAAAAGAAAATTTAAGACTAAGGAGTACCCAGTAGTAAGATTTGGGAGTAGCTTCAGAGAAATAGTAGCAAATCTATTAGATTAATAATTTACAGTTAGACTAGGCAAACTAGACAAAATTATACTGTTAACCTGAAAAATCCAGGAGGAGGAGAGAGGTACATTATTTAATAGCAATTTCTGAAATTCTACGATAAACTACTGTAATATTTTCATTCTACAGTGGACATGCAGAAAATCACTGCAGTTCATGTCTGTCTATATACCACTGTATCAAGATCAGTACTAAAAAAATCTAAGTAAATCAGACATAAGTGGGAAACTTTATATATAACATGATTTACTCGTACTTTGGTGTGTAAACATTATAAATATCCTACAGCAATATAGAACTTCAGTAACAGATGGGCTGTCATATTTCTGAATTTCATTGGGTTTGGTAGCTTAAGTTATAACCTTAATATTGTGTTAATATGAATTACGTATTGGATTCACATCTACATTGAACTAATGAGATTTTCAGGCAAGCAATGTTTAAATTGGATTTAAGGGAAATAAGTGCTGGGAATAAGGGAATACAACAGAGAACATTCTTCAGTAACAGATGGGCTGTCATATTTCTGAATTTCATTGGGTTTGGTAGCTTAAGTTATAACCTTAATATTGTGTTAATATGAATTACGTATTGGATTCACATCTACATTGAACTAATGAGATTTTCAGGCAAGCAATGTTTAAATTGGATTTAAGGGAAATAAGTGCTGGGAATAAGGGAATACAACAGAGAACATTATTACAGAATAGTCACTAGTACTTTGAATTTTATTTTAAACATTAAATAACCAGTGCACTCAAGCTTCATGATTAGAAAGTAATAGAACAAATATCTTGGTTTAGTTGGAAAATTGTAATCTGTATGTAACATCACTGAAGAGTATATAATTTTCAAAACCAATCTGAATGCTTAAGGATTTTGACTGTCATCATGAAGTGTTAAAAGTGAGTATTGAGGTATTGTAAATGAGCAGATGGTGGTTACTTGTGCTCTAAAATTCACTTTGAAGCATCTCTCAAGCAGTTTTGTGAATATGCATCATGACTGAGTGAAACTAAATGTGGATTTGTACCAAAGGTTTTATGGTGCTTTACTGTTTGTATGCATTTATTGGCCTAGATAGACAGTCTATTACTTTATGGTATTGCCTTTGGCTCTGTTTCATACTGTGGTGTAGGTGCCTTCTCCTAGAACCGCTGCTTTGGTTCTTTTTGCTTCACAGTAGCCTTTCTTATAGACCAGAAAAATAGCGAGTACCTTTTATAATAAGCTCACTGATGGGCATCTGATCCAGTAAAGGCAACAAACAAATCCCTAAACAGCAGTGTTCTTCATCAGGAATGAAGCTGGTGCTGTGTGAGATTGAAAATTCATTTTAAGAATTGCATTATTTCAGGACTTTAAAAAAAAAAAGAAAAAGAAAAAAAAAAACCTCCTCTCAAGGAGGCTTGTTGTGTTCCCTCCTGACTGAAGTAAGTTGATGCCCTATCATCATCATTATTCCAGTGCCAACAACTGTGTAACTTATTGTCATATTGCCCCTTTAGATGTGCTTTATTGTACTCCAGGAGACTATTAGAAAGGAAAGCAACCAAAATTGTCATGTAAACCATACATTTGCTATCTAGGTGCAATCCATTTTTGCTACTATGCATGAATGAATCTTTTAGATTGTTGTTAGAGAGAGACAAGGGTTGTTAGGGTTGGACAAGATGACCTCTAGAGGTCCCTTCCAACCTCAACCATTCTGTGATTCTGTGAGGATAAAGCTGTCTTGTATTAGGACTTATTTTTAATTATTACCTTGAAATGAAGTTAGTAAAGACAGCCTTATGGATAAGCTGATGAATTGACTGAGGATTTTGGGTAGTTTATTAAATAAGATATCAATATTATGTCTTAATGAAAAGTACTATGCAGGGGGAAAAAAGACGGCTTGTATTCAAAATGCCTATCTTGGAAAGGAAGACCTCAGTTTTCAGGAAAAAAACAAACCAAACCTAACAAAAAAACCAAGTAAAAATTCTTTCAGTATTTAGTCCTTTTCTTGTATACTAAAGTACCAAAGGAATAATGTTATTCCTGGTTTTATGTCACTGTTTGACAAAATGGTTTCCTGTAGATTCTGTAAATTTGATATTAGCTATGCTGCATACAGATTTGCATTTAAATTTGTAAAATAACAGTTGAAATTTTTGACAAATCCTTCTTGTGTTTTGTGACTACTAGTTTATAGCTCATCTTTTTGTTTCATTTAATCCAGATAAAACAAAGTAGAGCGTATTCTTGCACCTTCAGTCAATGATGTGTAATTATTTTACACCTGTATCTTGCGCCATTTTTTATATTTGATTATTTTGCTTGCTTTAACCTGCATAGGATGAAATAATTTAGTGAGAGCATATCCCTGAACTACCTAAGAAATGGAGATTTAGTTTAGTTATTTAAGCACTTCCTGGGCTCTGTACAGGGAAGTGACATCAAAGTACTGTTTGACCCACTCAAAGTTAGTTGTGTTAGGACAGGTGGGGTGATTTGTGCTCTAGAGGTGCGTTTCGTACTCTCTGCGACTGATAAGGGAATCTAGACAAAGAGCTTAAATGCAACCTAGCTTTTAGGTGGCTGTGGTTTTCTGGGACGTATCCACCTGCTGTGTATTTCAGTTTTGACTTCTGGTTTGTTGATAGTTTGGCATATATTTGAGATGCTGTTTTGTCTGTTTTGTTTTTATAGTCAGTTAAAAACTACACCAAATGTCATGTGAGGAATGAACAGATCTGCAATAAACTGACCAGCTGCAAAAGCTGCTCGCTACACCTGAACTGCCAGTGGGACCAGCGGCAGCAGGAGTGCCAGGCACTACCTGGTAAGGGCTGTGGGGCGGTGATGCTGCTTTTTATAGTTCTTTTCAAAACGGAGTAAATCTTCTCCATTATTGACAAAGAACATTTGTTCAATGAGTAGACCTGGATTTGTTTTACTTGTGCTGACTCTCCCCACCTGACCATACCTGTGCAGGTGAACACACATGTAATTACATCACTGATTGATGTATCAATGCTACCTTTAATCTTGTTAGGAGAGATAATATTATTAGTGAAGTCATAATGGCATGTACCTCTGCACAAGCCAGTGACGAGTTCTAGCCTGTGGGGATCACTGAGTGCAGAGCTGAATTGCCATACTGAGTCCTTTACTGTTACATATTCACTGACACTGTTACTTTTGCTAGCTGGGGTTTTATCTTATAAATTATACTGCAATTATACCTCAATTTTCCTGTGCAGATAGGGCCGAAGATCTAGTTTCTTGATTGTCTAATGTTGGTAATACTATGAAAGCAGTGAGTATTAAAATGCTGATATAAAATATTCTCCAAAGGTGACTGTTAACATTCTGAAATAGTATTTATTCTGTAATTCATATTCATAACTACAGATATGCAGTTAGATATCAGAACCTTTTCCATTTGATCTTTATGTCCAGATGAAATTAATGAACATAGGTTTTTTTTCACAGAGGTTATTCATTAAATAACTTTCATCAATTTATTCTGTGCAGTTTAAAACTGCATTTGTGTAATCTTTGTAAAGATCAACTATAACAGTTGCTCTGAATTGCTTACTCATCTTTTGATAGTTATCTCAATCTGAGTCATGCTGAAATATGTTGAAGAGGAAATATTTTCTAAGATGTTATCTGATTTTCCTATGATTCTGATTGCACTTGTATTTAGGCAAATCTAAATGCAAAGATAGTTCTATAAAGCAAAGAGAGGGTAAAGTTGTGATCTCTTAATTCTAGGACAGTTGTTTTCAGATTTTGAAATTTACATAACATTTAGGTAAAGTGATTGGTTAAAGCGCTATTAATTATGTGCATAATCTAATCTTTAATATTTAGTTGTGCTCAAATCTGAATACAGGGAATAAATAGTGTCATAACGATTTTGTTACGCTGAAACTTATTATATATCTTATAAATATTTTATAAGTTGTTAAAAGTTTCTTTTCATAAAAGGACACTATTCAATATGATACTACTTGGTGTTTTAGAATTTACGTGACATGAAAAGGGAAATTGAGTGTGGGATGTATTTTGAATTATGATCTCAGGAAGATAAAATTCAGACTCCCTTAGGTTTTTTAGAAGTTTTTTCAAATCAGCTTTAATCGTATGCTTTTTACACTAGCTCATCTGTGTGGGGAAGGATGGAGTCATATTGGAGATGCCTGCCTCCGCATAAATTCTAGTCGTGAAAGCTATGACAATGCCAAACTGTATTGCTACAATTTAAGTGGGAATCTTGCTTCATTAACAACCTCAAAAGAAGTTGAATTTGTTCTGGATGAAATACAGAAGTATACACTTCAGGTAACTTGAGTAACTGTAATTGATGCTTATGTGAATTAAATTGGCTTTGAGAAATCTATTTTAGGGATTTGTCCAAAGAGAGGAAAGTTTATGCCTTCAAAGAAATGTAGCGTGGTGCTAAAGACTGGTATAAGTGGTGTGTAGGATATTAAGGAACTCTCACGTTTAAAGCTAATGACACAGCAGTTCCCAGGTGTTTCTCCTTACCAGATTTAACTGTTATATGTTACTGTTTACTTTCAAGATATGACTCGAGAATGGCTGGAACACTAATCTGGGAAATCCCAGCCCTTTTCAATACACTGTGACAGCAGGAATCAAAACAAGACAAAATAATTTTCACTCTAACAGAGAAAAAATCCCGACTTTCACATCAGTATCCATAAAGCTGCTTGCAGGATTGGTTTTGGGTGGTGAATAGCTAGGCTGCAAGCAGTTGAGGACAGGGAGGTACTAAAGATGTGTACTTCTCTTCTCCGGAAAACCCTAGCTTTCTATATAACTGGTATGAGGGATCAAAGGGTCACAGAGAAGCTATACTAGTATGTGAAGTGTGTGGAAATTCCCTGCACGGCAGCACCAGAATGAGCCAGGAGCCAATTAGCTTTCTGTGATAATGGTGTGGGAGGGAGAGGGCTGAAAACTCTTACATGCCTCTGGCAAATACAGGAAGCTGCCATCAGAATATTCTTTAGGAAAGTGATCCATATTAACTTGTTAACTGTGGGACAAGAGAAGGGAAATTGAAGATTAATTACCTGTCCATGGGTGGTAAGGTTCAGATTTTTAGCAGTTAAAAGTTCAAATACTTACTTCTGTGTTGTTTAAACTGTTGGAAAGCCTACCCACATCATTGATACACATATGTGAAATACACGTATGCTCAGAAGATACCAAACCCCACAGCGTACACTCAGATGGGATGTCTTAGCAGAATAAGATTCCATTACAAGCAAATCAGTTCATCTTAGCAAAGGACATTTTTAAAAGTGTGTATTTTCGTTTGCAAGTACAGCATTTCTTTGTATAAAAACCCCTAATTTTTAAGTAGCTTAGGATTTTACAGTTACAGGAAAATGAAAGATAATTATGAATAATAATTAAAGCTTATATCAAGCTAGTATGTGATTTGCAAAGTTGTTATGTTGCAGATGAATTGAGATACATACAAAGGAAACTGCAGTTAAGAATTGCCTTTGTGTTATACTAAATCTGAATGCAAGAGTTTAGGGACATACACTGTGAATCAAAATATTCTATATTATCCTTTTTAGTGTTCCATTTCAAGAAGGAGATGCAAACATAGGTTATGTACGTAAGTTTTTTGGTTTTTTTCCCAATAAATGTAGGGCCTGGACGGAGCAAAATTTTTTTACTAGAAAGACATGTATTTTCTATTATTTGCTAATAAAGGAGAGAGAGAAGTAATTCTTCTATGTCAGAAGATCTCGCCTGATATTGTGCTTACTGCAGCCTTGAAACACATTCTGTCTGTCCACTCTTTGATATGAGAGAACTTTGAAAATGTAATTGAAACCAAAATAAAAAAATTGGAAATGGCAATGATTTCTCTAGTTATTTATTTTGCTGCCCCACCCCCCCCATTAAAATACCGCACAGGAGGCCTTCAAATCTAATATTGTGTGATAGAGTGTTTATGTGACTGATATTACCTGACTGGCTTGAGGTGTAGATGAGAAATAGCTTTTTTTTTTTAGTGTTTGGAAGCTAGTTTTTTATTACATTTCAGAACTTAGAACTTCTACAAGGTGACATCTTGCTGAGCATATCTTTATTTAAATGAAGTATGTCCTGAGCCAATGTGGTGATGTAAATTTGAGATACCTCACATACAGTTTATGCAATTGTAGACAAACGTATGCACTTTAAAAGTATATATTGGGTTAAACAATCATTTAGTTATCGGAATCTCTGATGAAATGCTACCATGACTTATCTTGGTGTTTTCATTGGCATTTAGAAAAAAAAATTTGTTTTTTTCATTTGTATCTGTCTGTCCAGTTACATTTATTCTGTGTGAGACAACCTAGATGTCTTGTCAGGTGTCACAGAGGCTCTCTAAAGCTTCTTGATTTTATTTTGTCTGCCTTTTCCTCTCAAACAGCAATCATAATGATTTAAGGAGTGAGATTTCATTTTAGATGGCTTGTTTTTGTAACAGGTGGTGGTTGTGGAGTTCACAAATGTAGTCAGAGCAACTGTAAGGTGAACACTATGCCTTTAATCTGTTTTATCTGTGGTGGAGTTTGACTTGTGTGGTTAATATCAAAGGCTTTAAAATCTTTCGCCTATGTGAAACAAAAACTTTCAGGATTAGTGAATGTGTCAGAGCAACACTTGGAAATAAGAATATGGATCTGTTTTTATCTCTGCTTTATTTGATTTTCTTATACTGAGAAAAGAAAAAAAACTTTGTTAACTGTTGTGTATTTTACAAGCTGTTAAAATAGTGTCAGTAAATATTACAGCCTGGAAGGACTTAAGAATTCTTTATTGTTCATAGAAACAATGTGGGACGTTGTAGATTGTTTTCTAATACACAAAGTCCTTGCTCTAGGACAGACTCAGGACAATTTTTTCATCATGTTTAGAATAATACAAAATGGATGCTTTGGAAAGATTCAGAGGGAGGAGGCTGCCATTGTCTCCATGCCCTGTCCAGACCTCATTGTGTATCAATAATTTCTCTTAATTCCAATACTAAATTGGAAATCAATACATTGCCTCCTTTTAAAGCAGAAGGTTCATTTGGTACTAAAGAAAGGGACAAAACAAAGACCTTTGTAGTATGAAGTCAAAACACTGTTGAATTTGCAGATGTATTCTAAAACTATCACCAATAATTTAAAGTAATTTGCATTTTTCATTGAAAATAAATAAAATTCTTTAAGAAAATGCCAAAATAAACATAATGGATAGACTGCAGATTCCCATACTAAAGCAAAACAACACTTGATATTTTTTTCTTATATGCTGTTTTATTGACCTAGTAAGCAAAATATTATGAAAGGGAAGATTTGAGTTTTTTTGCAAAATAGATTAAACACCAATATGAGGTTAATTAATTGTTCCTGCTAATACTCAAATGTTGTATACTCATTTAAAAGTGCAATTAGTTCTCTTGGGAGTTTGCTCGCAACTGTGGGATTTAACTAAAAATAATCATTTTCTTGTTAGCATGCAATAACTTCTGAGAAGATTTAGTTTTGGTGTAGTAAGCATAAACAAAGATGAGAACAGTTTTAAACAATGCCTTTCATTATATAAACTGCTTGCAACTTTTCCTTTAACTCACTGTTCTCAGGGCTAAGCATCCTTTATAAATTACACTTGAGCGTAGGTTGCAGTTAATTAGTGAGCTTTGCATGGCAGTGTTATTCCTTGTTAGCTCAAAGTATTCTCAGTGGGCTGTATGTTTTTATGGTTTTATCATAAGTTTGGCTGTAGAGTAGCTGACATCTACATTTTTCTGAATTAGTCCCGCTTTACTACAGTTTCTAGCAGTCCCACTTTACTATTGTCGTTTTGGAAGTCTAATAAATTATTTCAGCACTGTGTCTCCATATTGGAGTTGTTGCATTGACTGCCCGTTCATTCACCTCTAGTTTAACTGTCTTCCTACTTCCAGGAAGTGGGGAGCTCAAGTCACTTTGGATGCCTGAGAAGAGAACCTGAATTTCCAAAAAAATTGTCCCTTATAAAGAAGAAAACTCAAGGGTTTCTAAATCAAAGTCACACCGGAATGCTAGCTATAGTCCCTGTAGGTGGAAATTGGGGAAGTTGGAGTCTTTTCAGTTTGCCAGATCTTACATGGTTTTTTAACCTATGCCATAACAGCAACATTTGAAAAGACTAGGAGAAATAAGTGTTCTTATGACCTAATACATGACTCCTACTACTAATTACATCTGGATTTCATCATTTGTGTCTAATAGATACTGAGACACTTAAACCATGAAGCTTGCTTCCACTGCTTATAATGTGTCATTCACTGGGTAAATATTTACAAAATATGAAATGTGTAGGTATCTAGCATAGTTAGAATCGATACATAGTTAAAGAATAGAAACGAAGCAATGAGGTAGTAAATAGAATGAATGGTTTCTCTTCATATAGCTCTTATTTTCAGTAAGCAGTTTTGTTCATAATGATGGAGAAAAGAGGCAAACTAACTGCAAGCCCTTATCAAAACTGTGAATGTTGTGGAAATGTGAGCGCTAAGGGTCCACTGTATTTTCAAAGTTTAATTGTATGTTTCTTCCTAGGGCAACTATTTTCCTAGAAATCAAGGAGTTCAAACGATTCTTGAAAAGTTTATTGAAGTTTGGTAATAACGTATTGTGATGCACATATTAGAAAATGAGTCAGAAGTGTATTGTACACTTCCAGGACAATTTAATATCCAAAATGAAAGGCACTTAAATAAAGGTGGGGATAAATTCTGAAAGAGATAATTCCTCAGCAATTTGCATAATTAAGAAACAGAAGCAAATTTTGAGCCTCAATAGTAATTGGCTATTCAGTAAAGGTAGACCCGCTCGCTTCATTCATCTGCAAATTACTGAGCCCTCATTAAATCAGTGCTGAGGCAGCAGTAGTGCCTGAAAAATATGTCATGACTATAAATGATCACATTCACTGTAGATCTCAAAGCATTAGTCTGACTTAAATTTTCCGAGTAAGCAGTGGATTTAACATGAGCTATCAGCTGTCTAGTTAAAGTTACACAATTTTCCTTTCTAACATAGTTCCATAACTGCTACTTAAACGAAAATTAAAATGGGGTAGTTTAGAATAAGAGAAGAGCACATTTTTGAAGTTATTAGTGAATAAATTCCTGTAATGGCTAAAAACTTGCCCTATGTTCAATTAAATAGGACTGTAGTTGTGAGTACAGAATGACATTCTATTGGTATGCATCATATGATTGTAATTTTGCTCTTCTGTCAGATGAAAATACAGCCCTGTCCAGCAATTTG